TTAAAGTAGGGGAATGGAAAATACCATGTGGATCCTAAATATATTGGTTTTATCTATATTTTTACTCTTCTTAGATCATTTATTATATATTGGCTTAGAGAAAACTAAGGATTAATAATGATGTGTAATGTAAAATAAAATAGGTGGTAAGTTGAAAATGGAAATAATAGGAGATAAAGATTTGAAAACTTATGTATGCATGAAATGATATTGATATTGAATCAATGAACTGAAATATAAAATGCAAATTTATTTAAAGTTGAGTGAAATGGATAATGATATGAGTTAATATTATATAAGATTAATGGAAATGAAAGTATGACTATGTACAAGTGTTATAACCTGGAAACATGTTGCTCACGTGAAAAGATGCATAAAATTTAAAAAAATAAAAAAAATGGGGAAAAAAAAGAATGGAAATCCAAGACCTCTTCTAAGTATAATTATAGAATCATGGAATTTGAGGAAATCATTTAGCCATAAGGTGCTGCCATCCATTTCTCAATGTACGAATCCAAATTAAAGAACTTCCAATAGGCAGCAAGTTAAATTTATATTTGAGTACATTCAATTAAAAAGAAGAGACCCTGGTTTCTTTGAATATTTGTTCTTTTTCTAAACTGCGGAAGCTGTTGCTTTTCAACATTCAATTACTTTTCTGTGGGTTAAATGCATTATGACATGTCCTGCACTCTGGGCTGCCAGAAAACAGGCCTAAATATTATTTTTCTTTCAAATATTTGAAGTCTATATCATATCCCACCTATGGTCTTCTCTAAGTGTAAACAAACCCAAGTCTTTTAGTCTTTCATTACAAAATCTCTTCTTTCCCCTCTCTTAATTTAAATCCTTCTTAAAGGATAGGATCCAGAACTGTACACAATATTCAGGCGTCAGCTGATCAGCACAATGGAACTTCACCTCCCATGATTTTAAAACTTCATTCTGTTGATGCAGTCTAAAATAGCATTTGTCTTTGGCAGCCACATCAAATGCTGACTCATACTATTCAAGTATCTTTTCCATAAATATTCTTAAGACGCTAGAAATCCCACATCCTGTCCCTAACCAGGGTCAGCCCTGGTTAAGTAAAACAGAATAGCCTGCATAAAACAGCTTCCAAATCCTACAAAGTAATTACAGTATCTATATTAAGTTAGAAAATTGTGCTATAGAGCCTAGGGATTTTTGTGGAGAAAATTATATACCAGAAAAATAAACACACTTATAACCAGGATTATGTCATAAATTCATTTCTAGTTGGCTGTTGCAGTTCAGGCTCATTTAGCAAAAGATTCATCAAAAATAAAGAATATTTATTTTTGATGAATCTTTGCTTCAGGGTGGGTATGTGAATGTCTCAGTATTACACATACTCTGGTGATTGGTTGGGCTGTTTCTATGGAGAACTAACACTTTGGTGGTTTCAGAAATTTAGCAGTATTTGTATTCCACTCAAGAGACCAATTACAGTTCACATTGTATGGTTACAACAAGCTGATAAGGCATTTAGAAGCAAAGAGCAAAGAAGACAGCATTCCCAAATACCAGAGAGTTCCATATTTTGATATTTAATCTGAGACAGCAGGGACTGGTAATGTTTTCTATATAGATTTGATTAGTGGAATGATTGATCTTAATTGCCTTATGATTAAATTCCTTTTTCTATAAACCATTAGAATCATCTCAAAGTTAGATTTTATAAAATTAGTTGCCTAGGTGTTATCTAGGATAATGAACCTTCATCTATTTTTATCTTCTTTTTTGATACATTAATAATCAGAAGTGTTCCACAAAGCTAAGAAATGCTATATTTAGGTGATTTATGCAAAATGTGTTATCTACAAAATGCTGTGTCCCCCCCCCCTCTTGAAAACTACTGTAAATTGTTAGACCGCATCTGGAAACCCCAATCCCCTTATTCAACATTCCCAGCTATTTCTGTGCAACACGTGTGCAGAAACCTCTTTTTGCTACTACAGCTGCTACATGTCAGAGCTCCTATAGACAGATCATGTCATCTCCATATCCTGAGATGAATCGTATTGCTTGTGCAGTGCAAAATGCTTTGTGCAAGCATAAGAATTTACAGTGTCCTGCATATCTTATAATTGCATGGAATTCAATTTCAAAATAAATGTAAACATGTACTCTAAAATATATAGCTACATGTTTATATTTTGATATATTAGATTAGTCTGGCTCACAAGCTCCATAAATTTACCTGATTTTGATTTTTTAGTGCAACATGCATACTTACTCAGAATTCAGAAATCATTTTAATGGATTTTTTTTTCAGACTTTTCAGACAGCAGAAAATTTATATGCAAATAGATATAATTAAAAATTATCTGAAAATTACATAATGGATTGCAAATAGCAAATTCTTCATTTAAGAAAAAGGAATCAATGTACAGGTACAGAATGGGGTTAACCTGGCTTTTAATAATATTTGAAGAAAAATCCCAGAGAAGGAATTGATATAAATTGAGTATGAGTCAGCAATGTGTCAAGCCTGCCAAAATGCAAATTGAAGTGTAGGCTGTATCAACAGAAGAAGAGTTTTCAAACCACAGAAACCATTATTTCATCCTATTCTGCTCTGCTAAAACTCCTAAATAGTATTTCAAGGACCATATCAAACTGAAGACAGTTCTAATAAAGGCAATAAAGAAGTTCAAATGATCTAATTCCTATAAAAGGAGATTGAAGGAATTGGCATGTATACTTTGAGAGGACTGAGGGAGGAGTTTTCAAATATCTGAAAACAACCCCTACCCCCGCAGAAAAATAATCTAGCTTTGTATCAATCTGGAATAGAGGACGTGGATTACGTGGACGTGGACTTCATAATAAAGCAATTCTTGACAGTTTCATTGAAACACATTTACTTCAATGTGTTTGAATACACTAAACACATTGAATATGTTCAAACACAGGTTAGCAATTCATTTATTGGCGATGCTTTAACATTGAGCAGAGGATTGTACCCAAAAATGTAATGCCCTTTTCAGTTTTATGATTCTTTACACATTTAGTCCAGGAAATCTTTATATTGGTGGGCAGTGGCTCCTATCTGATGGTACAGAATATATTTTGACATAATACTTATGAATATCGTGGGGTTCAAGTATCACAATATGTATACATATAAATAGATGTGATTCTATTTACTGATAACAAAACCCCTGGTTCTTTTGCTTTTAGAATTAAGATTTCTAAGTAGTCTAGTTGTTTGTTTGTTTGTTTATTTATTTGATTTGTCAATCGCTTACAAGATAACAGGTATAAGAATAAACATAGTTTTGAATACATGATATGGATACTTATAAGAAAAATAAAAAGAAACAATAGGACAGGGACGGTAGGCACGATTGGTGCGCTTATTATTATCGCTAATTGTATCCCTATTGTAAGAGATTGTTCTGTCTACCAGTTTGATAGTCTAATAGGATATGTTAACTACCTTTGTTAAGACTTTCTTATTTGTATGCTATTAGATTCATTAATTTCTATTTAAGAGTATTCATTATTTGAAAAAATAGTTCTTCAGAACTGAGATGTCAAGATTAATGAATGAAGTGTTTTTAAAACATCAGTATAACATTGGGAATACCTTCATGCTATATGGTTGCTTTTGTCTATCGTGTTGTTATTATTGCTAAGAGGGATTTTTATAATGGTAAGTAAGGACCATGCTTGGTGAGCTGTGGTCTTAGTGACTAAACAAGGACCATAAAAAAATATATCCTCTTTTCACCTTGCTTTATCTGTCTTTGCGTTTGGAAAACATGTCTAATTTTTAAAAAAATCTCCATTGTTTTTAACTATCACATTTAGTGACATGGATTTTGATTTCATGTTAATAATTCTAAAGTAAACCCTTTAACATTTACAGGCTGCGAGGATTTATTAAATGGCTATTTGGTGTTTTATAATTCTCTTCTGGATTTTTGGATTATATCATGGGTAGTTTGCTAAAGCAATTAATAAGACAGGTATGAAAGATGCAGATAAATAAGAAAACATGTTACATGATAGTTTCAGAGGATCATTGTAGTTTGTAAGAAAGTAGATGAAATAGAGATATGGATTATTTCCATCTATGTAAAATGGGATAGTCAGAGTTAAGGTTTCCATAGTAACCTTCTTGCTTGCCCCTTAGGTGTGAAACTGGGCTTCTAGCTAGCTATAGCTATTTGAAAACTAAAGTGGGTCAAAGGCATTTTCATATTATATTATTTTTAGATAATAAGTGGATGCAAATTAGCTTTGCCATAATGCTGATGCCTCAGAAGTTATTCATTTTTGGATTTTTGCTTCATCCTATTTTTGTTACCTGAGTCTATCATAGTTGAAATCATAGCACTGGCTAATCAAGACTATTATTTGAATTAAGTTTTGATACCCTCCCCCCCAAATTAAACTTAGTTGGGATTCTTCAGATTAATGAACTGAATTCCTAGACTATAGCCAATAAATTAAGAGCAGAGTTGCCTATTGTTTGAAACCAGTCATTTCTGTTACAAATTAGGGTTTTATGGCTTAGCATACTATATGAAATCACAGTATAAGGATGCCTTACACATGAAATCATGCAAACTAAATTATTGTTTAAAGTGTAATATGGCCCTAATTATAAAATTTTTGGCTTTATAGTGGGATCATGAAAAGTTGGACTTTTGGTTTGATTCTCACTAGCCGTTCATGTGAAGGTGTTACATTAACCAGTCTTGTAGATGCTGGAGATTAGGGGACATTTAGTTATGTAAATAAACTCAGCATCCTTTCTTGTCCCAAGCAGCTACTGGAACTTTACATCTGCAGTAATGCTAACATTTTAGTATAATATAGAGAGTGGCAATTTCCTAAACTTCTTGAAAATGACAATTTAGAAGATAAAAGTGGAGATTCATAAGAACACCAGTTTTGGTTTGTGAAAATGCTAAATTTACAAGCCATCTGGTAATCACACTATATTTTTCTTTCCCCTATTAAGTATACAATATTTCTGGAGAAGAATATATACAGGTCATTCACAAAAAGCCATTTTGCAGTGGAAATGAATATGGTGCAACAATCCATATGCTGCTTATGTATGAGATACACAATTCTGAACACATGTGTATGCACAGAGACACATGATCTAGGAAGGTAAAAAAGTGAAATATCTTTCTTAAACAATATAGTAGCATAATAGAAGCAGGGCTAAATCTAAAAAGATACAAATAGACAATATTAATAGGACAATGTTAATTTGTGCCCAATTTGTGAACTTAAAAAAGTAAAAAGAGTGGTATTGGTGCAATCCCAACAGCCATCTTGGTTGGCCTTGCAGGTGGCCTGAACACTTCCTGGTTCAATTGCACAAAAAATATTTGATACAATCTAAAAATATGAAGACATGAGTCCTAATTATCACAATTATCCATAGACACTTTTCCTGCTCCACCAAATTAATCTGGATGTTACCATTTTCCATTATTATAAATGTCAGTAATTGTATGGAAGTATACAAAAGTGGATATTTAAACAAAACAAAATCACACACAAATTTTAAGTTTAAAAAGACAGTATGTGCACTTATAAGTATTGCTGCACTATTTTTCATTCTATCAAAGAGGTAGAAATTTTACAAATAAATTTGCATTTATTTCCGTTGGTTGCCTTTAAAAAAAACAGTTCAGGTTATGAAACTATGATATCTCTTTTTATTTTGTTCTAGCAAATTAAACCTAAAATTGTGAATTTCATGTTATGATTTACAGGAAATATAAGTGGAAAGTAAATTCTTCAATCAGCTTATCCTTTCTCTTCTGGACAAAAGTTTCATAGAAGTTTCAATTAGACTGTTTAATTATTATTGCCATCACTGTAACCATAAGCAGTACTGAGCACTATCTAGAAAATTAAGTATACTTAAATCTTACCTGTATAAATTACTTTAGTAATTTAGTACTAAATTAAATTTAAATCATCAATAATATCTATGGAAACTGAATATTCTTTACTTAGACAATAATTACTTTATTCCTTACAGAAGTTTAAGATTATGGTTATCTAAACGTGTGCTGTAAGTGTTCAGCTCATGAAATTGAATACAATGAAACTGAATACAATGTAAACATCAGCATTTTATTTGCTTTTCTTGCCAAGAAATTGCTCAACAATATAAGATGCTACAGTGAAAAATGAATTCTCCCAAGTATAAAGTTACTTGTTGAATTGCTGGTGAAACCTTAAGTAGAAGATATAGGAGCTTTGCCTCAGCACAAGCATATAATGCAGTGCTTCAAAACTCTCAGATCTTCCAATTTTTCAAAAAATATATTCTTTTCACATAGACATTTATTTATCCTGTCTTGAAATGGTCAGATGTTTGGAAAAGGGTTATCTTATATTGTCAGCATAGAGCATGGTTGGAGAGGGCAGAGCTTGGCATCCTCAATTTTTTGGCTCAGCAGAATGTGGGCCCCAGTGTTCTGTGGTTTTGAAGGGAGGGTGAGGGAATAGCCTTGCATTGGCTTGTTCAAATAAAGTATAGGTTTTGCTCTAAAATTCATTGAAGGAATTAGAGACGCAGCTTGAATCATGCAGATCAAAACTACACAAAACATGCAAGCTAAAGAAAAGCGAGGGACAGGAAAGAAAGGAGAGCTGCGCAAAAGAAGGGGAATCCGAGAGCAGACTGCATTTACCATTAAGAGTTAAAAGAGAGTGAAATAGCTAACGTACACACACCCCGCTCCATACCGGAGAAGAGTCTCCCAGCTGAGTTGAACGCTCAGAACCCGCAAGAACGAAGCTGAAGCTGACTGCCCCCACGGCCACGCTAGAGGCTCCCAGCCCTATCTCCAGCACAGATAGCACCAGAAGGCTCCCGATGATCTGGCTGCTGGTGCACATCGTCTCTCGGTCATCATTCCCACCAGTTCAGCTACTAAAACCAGACATGCGCCTTCTCTGAGGTGGGAGACAAGGAATGCTCTCCTTCCTCCCCCCCCTCCGCTGAAACTTTTATCTTTCTTTACCAGCCAGGGATATCCACAGTCCACAAGGCCACGGCGCCCCAGGACAGGGCGTGTTTTTCGCCTCAGCAGGAGATCCAATAAAAAAGGTTCTATTCTTTGCAGTACCGACTTGGACGCTTGATGCGCGTCGTCTAGATGATGTATGCAGCAGCCTGGATCTGGACGTATTTTCCCCCCACGCAACCTTTCGCCTCCGCCCCCGTCCCGGGAAGAGAGCGGAGATGGGGGAGCGAAATGGTGTTTGCTGCTTCGCAGATTCAGGGCTAATAAGGGCTCCGTGGAGAGCTGTCCGCGGTACTGATTCCTCCTTCCCGAGCTTTCGCAATGAGCGTCCTCTTCAGGTCCTTGTGATTACAGGGGTCTTGCAAGCTCGATCTCTTGAAAGCACGTGTACTTTTTTTTCTTCTTCTGTTGATGTCCTAATACAGTCACGTTTTTATTTTATGACTAGTCATATACACATGTTACATGAATGAATGACTAAATAAATAAAATTATTTTATGCCCCTAGTCCTGGCAGAGGCAGATTAAATTCAGCACCAGTTTTCTTTAAGCACACAGAAAAGAGAGATAGGGAGAGATGATCACCTCCCGCTTCATTCTCATTGGAATGACCTGCAAAGAGTTGACTGTAGAGATGGAAAACTGAAATAGAAAGTCCGGCTTCTAGAAGAGTACAACATGTGCATTTGTGTTACTGTCACACCTATAACGTTCGAACTGAAAATCCCTTCCACACACAAAAGCCATTGTTTCTTCCCACCCCCATCATTTTCCTTGATCTCAGCACAGACCGAATGATTTCTTTCAAAATATTGCAATCAATTTGCAGAGTTACATAACAATTCTTCATGATATTAGCTGTCCATATTAAGAAACAAGTGTTTCTTTCTCTCTAAAAAAGATTAAAATTCACCCATTCTTGCATGTGCTAGGTCAGGGGTCAGCAACCCGTGGCTCTGAAGCTGCATGTGGCTCTTTCATCTGTCTTCTGCAGCTCCCTGTCACCAGTTGGTAAAAGGAAACTGTGCTAGGAGGAAACTCTATGGTGGGGGGGACCAGACTTCTGGTCAGCTCCAGAATTGAATGGGGAGGCTTCTAGTTAGGACCTTTGTGGCTCTTTGAGTGTTTAAGGTTGCCAACCCCTGTGCTAGGTGTTGACAATCAGCAAGTTACATGTAAGTTCAACATTCTTTAGAGCTTTTTGGAAAAAAAAACATAAATAGAAAAATGTTCAGTGGCTCTTAAAATATAAATGTGTTCCAATGAAATCAAGAATGGTAATTTGATAATGTGACATTTCTCATTTTCTTGGCAATATTATGACTCCATGTTTTATTTTATTTTATTTATTTTATTTAGTTCATAAATGTGGCTCAGAGCATGCACTGAAAAGAACAGAAGGTTATTGAAGGATTGTTGAAACTAAGATTGGTTAGCTGTGATTAATATGGACATGGGTGATTCCTTTTTTAAAAAGCCATCGTTCCTGCAGTTTCCCACAAGATCTATTCTGCTGTTGTCAGGGTCATATCTTCTTTGTTACACACTGAGCCAAAACACCATTTCAAAATCAGACTGACTCATCAGTAACTCAATACCTTGTTTGAATTGTTGCATTTGTCCTGCTTTGTTTTCCTGTTGATCTATATAGATATATATTAGTAAGAAATATCAACCAGCAAGGGATGATAATATCCAAATAAAGGATACATCAAATGGAAAAATGGGGAATGACATTAATTAATGCTACACAGATGTTTCCTAATCTATAAAATATCTGCCATCTACCACCAAATTACAGTATACTATATGTCACAAACTGGAAAATATCATATCACACAGTAGGAAGAAGATTTGAAAAATGTACTGCTTTCTGCATGGAAAAATGTTTCCACTCAAAAGAATCATATACAGTACAATGGTTCATTTAACTTAATTTTCTTACTGACATTTTATATTATATGAAGTAAGAAGAAGTGCAATAGCTTTGATTAATTCAATCAGAATGAAAATTGAAGCTTTTCAGATAGGCCTATAGTTTGCTATATTTGCTCTTTTTTCCAGATAACTTTTGATTGAAGAGTACAAAACAATGCTCAAGAACTCATAGGAAAATTCATGTGGAAATGCCTTTAGTCTCCATTACCACCCCAACACTGAATGAAGTTTCTGAATGGACATAAGTAATTTTCTCTCTCTCTTTTTAATGTCAATTTTTGTTTTGAGAGATTAGATACAGAAAATAGCCTGAATTTAGTGATGGGTCATTCGATTAGATCAGTGCCTAAAGTTACATCACTTGGCAGAAAAATGCTATAAATTTCCAAAGAGGGAGGTAGCTTTTTTGCAGCTTTTATTGACTTAAAGGCAGTTTTTTTATTCCATTCCCCAAGAAAAACTTTGGAGGAAACAAGCTAACACATTGATTGATTGTTGTCTACTTAATTTGATTATCTACTTACACTATGATACCACTCGACAGATTAAAAACACGGGTTTTTGTGATGTAACAGAACCTATTCACACTCATAAATGAGTTAAGCAAGAGTGCAAATTATTTTTCTTATTATTTAACCTTTACATTAACAAAGTAATACTTTTTCCCAATCCAGGGATCGATCTTCTATTTCTCACCCATCATCCAATTCTAATGTATGCAGAATTCAAAAGGAATTTGAAACTGGAAATGGTTGGCTCATATTTAATTTCAGATACATAAAATAATGCTTGAACACATAAGCAATAGAATAAGAAGTTATTCTGAAATTTCATATACTTTTTGTCTTATTTGGATCTTTCCAATTTTTAAAAAACTGGCATTTTCCTTAATATTTTTATTTTTCTCAATCTGCAGTTAATATATATATCTTGCATGGCTCTATGTTGTTTCTCTAGGTCAGTTGTAATGAACAGAATGCATGTAACAACTTTACAAAAGAAAAGCAAATCCTTGCTAGGATGGAAGAGCCTATTTAGTTCCACTGAACATTTGGATAGAAATAAATGAATTAATATAATATATATACAATTTCTAGTAGTACTTTATTTAAAATGCCAATGGTATGCTGAGTATAAAGAACAATAAAAGCAAAACAAAAAAAATTACAAGATTATAAGAATAACCCAAATATGATGTATGTAACATGCTACAATTCCTCAACAGATTCCTCTATACATTTCTCCAAATAATTTGGTAATAATTTGCATGAAACTGTGAATTCTATGTACCATTTCTAATTCATTGGTGCTTGCAAGGTATCATTATTTGAGATTTCTTTGCTAATTATCAGAAAGAAGCATGGATGGAGAATGCTGGCCAGGTTCAACAATAGTCACTTTTATAACATGCAATTTAACATTGCTAGCCTATGGTGGTCTCTCATGAATGAAGACACTGAGGCAGTCGTCTTGAAG